GCTTGGTAGCATGCAGCAATTGCTCATCCCAACCATACTGAATTACTTTTCTGAGCCCTGCTAGTTTGTCAATTAAAATATCTTACTTCTGCCTACAAGCCTCTCTTGGCAATGATGCTCCTTGGTGGCTTGCATAGCTGTCTGAAATCCAAGGGACATCGCCACGATCCCCCTGCCGTGTGCTATTCTGGTGACGTGCATGCTGCTAGATGACTGGTAGCTTGAAAATGCCTCATCTGCTGTCCTTTGGAGATGCATTCAACTGTTCCCTCAGTTTATATAACCTTAAAGCAATTTGCTTTCATGGCAGAACATGCTTATTCATTCTATTTTAACTATGCATTGAGCTATAAATAATGTCTCCTTATAGATAAGAATCTATTGAATTTTTTTTTTTTCCTACCTTTGGAAGATCTTCTCCTGACCCCCTTCTCCTGAAGGTCCTGAAGGAGACCTTCCCATTCTTAGCAGAAAAGTTACCAGACTGACTTTCTCCTGCCAGGCAGCCATGAATGGTGCCAATCCCAGGTCTGCTGCTACTTCCCTGCACCCACCTCCTCACTGTTCCTGCCTGGGCTGTGGCAAAGATGAAATGAGCACTCAGTGATGCACAGCTGAGATCACTGAAGTGTCAGGAAAACTGATTAAACCGATGGTTTCCTCTTCCTCTGGCCAGCTGCAGGATAACATTTCCTGCATTACCTCCAAACCGCCTTCCCTGCAGTATGTTCACTTTAAAGAGCAACAGATCACCCAAACGTTCTGCTGTTTAGTGCCTCCTTTTTCTTCTGCTCATTCTAGCATTTTCCTGCTTTTACTAGAGTAACTCTTGCCCTGTGCAATGGAGCCCTGACCTGACATCCCCATCATCCAGAAACTGCCCAGAGTTGGAGCACTGCATGAACTGGTGAGAAGTGAAGGTATGTCCTTAGAGCTGATGCTGTTGAGATCTACATCTAGTCCAGACTGCAGCACAGCAGTAAAGTGGCCGCTATTTTGGCAGCTGATTTCCTGTGGTGCAGATATCTTTGTTGTTGGTTTGAATACTGATGTTCTTCTGGGGAAGTGTTGTGACGGCAGGGGGCCTGGGCTGTTGCAGAAGTGGAGAGACTTTGAAATCATTGAGAGCTAATAATGTTCTCAAATTTGAATAGTTTAGTGTGGTGGGTTTTTTTTTTTTAACAATTATTACAATCTATTATTTTTATTGTACATTTTACTGGTCATTCCCCATAAGAATGTGCTGGGGCCCCTTTGTACTGCTTACCCGTGGCCTTTTAGCAAAGGCTGTAGGAAAACTCTGAGGCTGCTCTCCTGGGTCATGGAGAAGTGTTATGTTCCTCCATTAATAAAAACTATCTATAGAAGTGAGCACTATGTCAGTACAGTATACATAAAATAATTTGGGTTCGAAGAGCTCTCTAGAGTTCTCTAGCTCAACCCCTGCTCAAAGCAAGGCAAAAGTCAAAGTCAGCTCAGGGTGCTCAAGGCATTCCTTGTTCAGCTAGGTTTTCAGTTTCAGTTTTCAGTTACTGCTTGATCACCTTCATGGCAAAGAATAATTCCTAGTATTCAATCAGAATTTAATCCTCTTGCTGTGCAGCTCTGAGAAGACTCTGTCCCTCTCTTCTCTATAACAGATGTCCCTGCCATCAGAGAGCTGCAGATAGCAGTGAGATCCCCCGTAGCCATCTCTTCTCCAGGCTGGAGAAGCTCAGCTCCCCCAGCTTACCCCAAATGCCTTGTGCTCCAGCCCCTGACCAGCCTGGTGGCCTCTGCTGGACTTGTTCCCATGTGTCAACATCTGTCCTTGCAGTGGGGCCAAGTACATTTATTTTATTGCATAAGTAATGTGAAACCATGTTAGCCTTCACCTTCAGGGTACAAAGTTCTGCACATGGTCTTATTAGTTCAGGAAAATATTCACTGGGGTTACCTGAATCAAACTCTATTTAATGAGTTCATAAGCACATGGATATGTTTTCATATTGATGTGTTTTAATCATATCAGTGACTTTGTTTGCTTTATTTCTTAGTTCAAATGGTGCCTTCAGGCACTAGGTGAGAGGCAGATCTTCCATTTGTTGTGTATCGGTTTCTCCAAGCTTGTGGCTCAGTACAATTAGTTATTGGCCACACTGCGGCCAAGAGAAAGACAAAGATGGAAACTGCAGTCTGAATTGTATTTAGCAGGCATTTTGGAGTGATTAGAGGCAATTTCATGAAACAGCTACAACTAATTATTGTTATTTCCCATTTTACAACAGCTATTTGTTAATTAAATAATGTGACAAAACCCAGGAATGTTTGGAAAAGTGTATTAAATAATTTGTCATTCATTTATCAGTGT